ACCCTAAACCCCTAAACCCCAAGAAAGAAGGGGCACCTGCAGCAGCTTGCTTGGAGGCTCGGCTGCAGGAATTGGCGCCGCCAGGTCCTGGTCGGAGCGGAGGAGTCGAAGAACCTGCGGCCGAAGCAATTTAGGGTTTAGGGTCTATAGGGTTTAGGGTTTAGGGTTTAGGGTTTAGGGTTCAGGGTTTAGGGTTTAGAAGAACAAGCTCGTCTTAGAGTGTCAGGTTGGGGTCTTGGGGGGGGGCGGCGGGTAGGGTTTAGGGTTTAGGGTTTAGGGTTTAGGGTTTAGGGTTTAGGACAAGAACAACAGGCTCGTCTTGGAGTTTAAGGCTGGGGTCTCCAAGAGCTTTTCAAGGTTTGGGGATGTTCAGGGTCTAGAGAATAGCACCTCGGTGCGAGGGCTGGGGTCTAGAGTTTAGGGTGTTTTTCTTGAAAGAACGAAATATTTGGGCTTTCTCACCACGTAACGAGCGATTTCTTCCAGTCCCCCCCTGCAAATTTAGGAACAGCGCAACTACACTTCAAACGACCTAGACTCTAAACTCTAAACCCTGATCAACCCCAACCTACAAACACCACTGCCAACCGATGCCACCGGGCCTGCTGGGAAAGCTCTGCGTCACTGCCGATGCTGGAGGATCCCACAAGGCCTTCTTCGTGGCAGAAGGAGAGGGGGAGTCGGTCGCTATACATATACCCACAGGCCTCATAGTAGTTCCTTTTTGGGATTCCCTAATAGAATCCTAAATATAAGCCACAAAAAGGAACCACTATGGGGCCTATGGGTAAACATAGGCACCTGACGACGTACCGTGGCAGGGCGCTTGAGTCCCATGTTCGGAGTTCTTCGGATCGAGGTGAGGTTTTGTTGGGGAGATTATTCGAAACTACCACACTCAAGACTGTAAATCCCTGCCACGGCAACATAGGAACAAGCCAGGCTTAGGTTTTTGTAGGCTTTCAGGGTTGGTGGGTTCAGGGAGCAGGAGTTTAGGGGCATGAGGGTTCTAGGATGCGTGTCTTCAGGGCTGCAACAGGATTCCAGCGTACTCGTCATTCATCTGGTCATTCCTTACTCCGGAACAGGAATCCTACTACTCAGCAGCGCTTTTTGAAGCCTGTTGCCTGACAAAAATTCCTACTTCAGCTTTTGACGCCGCACCGTTGAAGGCAAACTCTGGGGCTGGTTGAGGCAGCTCGAACAAACTTAGTGGTTTTAGGGTCTAAGGTTTAGACGGCTTAAACCCTAAACCCTAAACCCTAAACCCTAAACCCGGCTTAGGGTTTAGGGTTTAGGGATTCTGGCTTCAGTGGGTCGGGGATTCCACCGAAACCCTAAACCCTAAAGGCGAGGAGCGGGTCTCAAGTTCGGGCACCAACTTTAGAAGCCGCTTCATGTCTTTTTCGTTTCTCACCTGCCAAAAGGGATGCAGCCTTAAACTCTCAAGCCCAAATTTAGGGTTTAGGGTTTGGAGTTTGGAGTCACTTAGTAAGTTACCGTCCTCGAATCCCCAGTGTATTGGAGGACAAAGTCAAGCATGTCCTCAAGTACCCTGCGGGACGGCAACTATGGCATGATGTCTGATTATGGGCAGTGCAGGGCCAATGTGTACTCAACCGAGAAGGTCTCAGACAAGGCTATCCTAAACTGCAACAGTGCATCTCTAAATTCCAGCTTAATTGCAGTGGGCGTTGCTGCAAGAGACATGTGTAGGTCAAAAACTCGTAGAGCCCCAAAACCCCACCCAAAAATCAGAACCCCCGAACCCAAACCAAAGCCCAAAAACCCAAACTCTAAACTCGAAACACCACTCTACACTCCTGCAAAACCCTAAACCCTAAACCCTAAACCCTAAACCCTAAACCCTAAACCCGGCAGCGTGCCCTGCCACAGGCCTTCTGCTGTCATGCCCACACCGGGCAAGCCTAGATCACCGGCTTCGAGGTTTCGAGCTTCGGGCGTTTGGGTTTAGGGGTCTGGGTTGGGGTCTGGGTTGGGTTTAGGGTTTAGGGTTTCGGGTTTAGGGTTTAGGGTTTAGGGTTTAGGGTTTAGGGTTTAGGGTTTAGGGTTTGACAGAGGGTTTGGGTGTTCTTGACAGACATTTCAGAGTGTTCCAAACAACGTCTTAGGAACGAGATTCCGAAAAGCAGCAAGCTAATGCATGCTCACCAGCACTTCCTTGCCCCTGCCCTACACACTATAGTGTAACCCTAAACCCTAAACCCTAGACCGTGTATACTTCCTAAACCGCGGGTCCTGCTCCTGTAGCCTGACACCTGACCTCGTAAACCCCGAGCCTCCAGGCATCACAACCAAGAGCTGGCCTATGGAACTGCCATGACACACATGAACCATCAAGCCCTATACTGGGTCCTTCTACAACGGAAAGAGAAAGGATACCTTTCATGATGGACTCCGTTTTAAAAATCGAAGGAAAATCAGGGATTCCTAAGATGACCAAGCGCGCTTCAAGTTGGGCATGTAGTGGGGCCCCTGCAACCCTGGCCCAACTATTGGGAATGCCCGGGAAGTATGTTGGAGGTGCTTGGGTTCAGGGTGTACAGTTTCTAGGGGTTCGGGTTTAGGGTTTCAGGGTTTCAGGGTTTAAGGTTTAGGAACAGTTTGGAAACTGCATGACCACATCCGGAGGGAAAGGAACATTCGGAAAGAAGTTTGGAGGTACCCCAGACCCAAGACTAGACCTCGCTAGGACGGTACCGAACTCCTGCAAAAACAATCCTTGAAACCCTTATGATGCCATGCATTTCGGCGACAAGGGAGGATAGTTGGAGCTTTGTCGGAAAATCTCGCCTGCACCTTACAAATTTGGATATTGATGTGGCAGTACTTCTGTACTGAAGAGACTCCTCATAAACAGTTGCCAGTGCCCCACCAGCGCCAAATAACACTGAACCCACAGCTCGCGCCAAAAAGCAAGTTATAAAGCTTAGTCCGAATCTGTGCGGGGGCTGATCCAACCCGAATATCTAAATCTCTGAAAACGCGCCAGGAGTAGTAGAAGATATACACTAGGCACTAATGTAGTCCCTGCAGGCTGTGGCCTTTTTCTTATTTTCTTAGACTTGACTGGTGGCCTGCCGGCCGCAGATGCAAATAGTGTGTGGCCCAGCCTGAAACAAACGCCAAATATTGATGCAAAGCCTTTGTCGAAGAACAGGAAATGTTGACCATTTATGTCAAAACTCATCCGAACGTGCAAAGAGTCTGGAGGGCTTCGGTATTTGGCCTCAACGAATGCCATGCCACCAGCAAAAAACTCAATGCATACCGAAGTACTGAAAACAGGACTTGCTAAAGGAACAAAGCAGACGCTTCAAGGCATAAGGGTCCTCGAATCCTAAACACCAAACCCTAAAACCCCAAACTAGACCCTAAAACTTAAAAACCTTAAACCCCGGAACCAACAGCTTTGTGATCAACAGCTCCCGAACTCCAAGCCCATGCCTTCACCCGGTCACGATCTCAACACTTCTGCAAATCAATTTCCCAGATTACCCTCCCAAAGCGTCCCAAGTACCTACACGCTAGAAAATAGGGGCTCTATTGTTGGAATTACTGTTGTGATTTGATAACGTAGTATCTCCAATACCGCGGTTTCCCAACCTTCTCCAACGCTACCAACCTTGCAGCTGATGCGATGATGCTGGGTTTGGCATGGATGGGCCTATCTTGCGGCTGTTGCTCGTGATGCTCGGTTTTCGGGGTAACTGACCGCCAATAATCTTGCAGCTGATGATGCTGTCCCTAGTGGTAATCCCGAATGCAAGCTGTCCTGCAGAGGATACGGCTGCGTTCGCTTTGAAATTCTAGGAAAACCTCTCGTGGCATCTACCCATCGCTAACACTCGTGCAGCTGATGCTGGTGATGCTCGTCTTGCTGCTTACCTTTCGGGGACAAACGTGCGGCTGATGCCTTGCCGAAGATGTATCTTGCAGGTGATGCTTACATCGGTGGACGCTGACCGCTTACCGATCGCCAACACTTTTGCAGCTGATGCCAGTGGTGCTCTTCTTCATGGTTACCCGTCGCCTACAAATGCTGTGATGCTCGTTTCGGTGGTTCCCAAAGCTAACTCTTGCAGCTAATGCCGGCAATGCTCAACGTGCTCGTATCTGACTGCATACAGTGCGTTTGGCAATCGTGCAGCCTGATGCTGATGATGCTCGTCTTGCTGGGTTGCCAATGCTCACTCTTGCAGCTGCTGCTGGCGATGCTCACTGTGGTATCGGACGATGTGCCGCACAGTTAGCAATCGTGCAGCTGATGCTGGTGATGCTCGTCTTGTTGGTTCCGCATCGCTAACAATCGTGCAGCTGATGCTGATGATGCTCCTCTTGGTGGTTGCCAGAGCTCACACTTGCAGAAAATGCTGGCGATGTTCAATCTGGCGGTTGATGACGGTGTGCTGCGCGCTTGGCAATCGTGCAGCTGATGCTGGTGATGTTCGTCTTGCTGGGTACCCATCGCTGATAATCGTGCAGCTGATGCTGATGATGCTTGTCTGGGTGGTTTCCAAACATCACTCTTGCAGCTGATGTAGGCGATGCTCAATGTGGTGGTATCTAACGGCTTCGCGAGTGCTAGCGATCGTGCAGCTGTTGCTGGTGATGCTCGTCTTGCTAGTTGCAGCTGGTGGCGACGAGCAAAAGACCCTAAACACTACACCCTAAACCCGAAGCCCTAAACCCTAAACTGTGGCTTTTAAGAGCATAGAAGGGTTTTGACCCACAGACAATAAATGCCTAAACACTCCTCTACGGATAACATAGGGGCCTGAATAATCAGAATAGGGTTTTGAGGTACACTGTGGTACAACTTCCTGAAGCAAACCGCAAGGAGTAGTATAGCTAGTCATGATTACCCCAAAACCTACTCTACCGATACACAGACTGAAGAGATCAGAGACGCCTTCCAAGCCATCCATGATGTGGGTGCAGTAGATGATGGTACTGCCTTCCTTGCTACGTAAATCACAAGGGGCGGCTCCAGGGTTCGGCTTTAAAGACTCCGGCCCTGAAGCTGAGACATTCATGAAACGTAGGGTTTAGGGTTTAGGGTTTAGGGTTTAGGGTTTAGGGCTGGCGAATACTAGAAACTTACGACCCAGTGACGAGTTGGTTCCATAGCAGCATAATCCTGGATCGGAATGAAGCCTGGGCCTTGATGAAAGACCCCTCCCCTCCTCCCAACTTCCTGTCCTTGCTTTAGGGTTAAGTGTGTATAGGGGTTTAGGGATATAGGGTTTAGCGTCCTTCAAGCAACTGAGAGCAGCAGCTTCAAGAGTGGAGACTGAGGGGTAAGCGTTAGGGTTTAGGGTTTAGGGTTTAGGTACTGATGCAATGCAGAAGACCCTAACACCGAAACCCTACATACCAGGTTCCCCAGTAGCCTCTTAAAAAAAGGGTGCCCTTTGTCCTAGTATTCGGTCTTAAGAGTAAGGAGACCTGCAAAACTCTAAACCCCGAGACCCAAAGATGAGTTACGACCCGGAACGCGCAAAGCGTCCACACTGTCGCTTGGAGTTGAGTGCCGGGCTTTGAAACCCGCACATGGGTAGTTGAAAGATTTATTTCAAGCGCTTCATTTGAGCTGTAACACATCACAAAGGTATGAAACACCAGACCAAAACCCACATCCCTAAAACCGAACTTTAACCCAACTTCTGAAGCTTAAATCCTAAACCGACTATCGAAATCTGAAGCCGGCAACATCTCTAATGTAGGGACCATTATGATTAACGTAGAGCTTTGGGGTATGCTATAATTTGATTTTGGAGCCCTGAGGGTTCCTGTTGGAACAAATTAATGTAGGGGCCTTAATAATTAGAATAGGGTTTTGGGGCCCATTATACCTTTGTTATACTAAGGAACCCCTAAAATAGTACAGGTAATTATTGAGGCCCCTATTTTAAGAGTTGAGGGTTTAGGGTTTTTAAGGACCCTTTGTTAAAGCCTCTCTTGGCTGAGTCCGGATCGTCGCTCTCTTCCTTCAAGAATTGCAGAAGGGCGTGGCGAGCCAGAAGGTCCAAATCCTGAGCGCAGCTCTTGGGGCTACGGGGTTCATATTCAGGGTCCGTTACAGGGCTCATTATAAGGTTCTATACGACTTACAGAAAAAAGGGTGTTCGCCCCTTAACGGGTCAACGACCAGGAGGTCTAAGTCTATGCAGGATTTAGGGTTTCAAGGTCTAGGGGGACTATAATAAGAAGAGACATATGTAAGGTAGTAAGCCGAGACCTTTGACAATGAGGTAACGGAGGGATTCGAGTGTTGTTAAACCAAACTGATATCCGCATCCATGGAATCCTTCCAGTCAGCTGGGATGTTTGACTGCAATCGACCAGGATTTGGCAAAACAAAGAAAAACATCATCGACAGCCGACCACTCATCCCAGGCTGTCCTAAATCCTGAACCCGAAAACCACTAACTCTAAACCGGAAACCCTTAACCCTAGGCCCCATAGTAGTTCCTTTTTGTGGCCCATATTTAGAATCCCATAAGGTACTCCCATGAAGGAACTACTATGGGGCCTATGGGTAACCCCAAACCCTTTGAGGGCTTTGGGCTCTTTCAAGGCATCCTTGGAACTCTCTGCCAGGATACTGCGGTCACCTCGTCGATGAGCAGCACGGACACTGGTTTCCTTGTTTAAGCCGGGGGGGGGTTATAGAGTTTAGGCTGTTGGCTGATTTAAGAGTTCCGTAAGGGATTTATCTTATAGGCTCCCCAAACCACCACGCACTTTGCGGCGCACCCCCACGCAAATCCTAAGCCTCACGAGCTGAGCATCAGCAGCTTCAGGCCCAGCTGAGCGCGGCGAAGGGCTCCGTCGGACAAGGCGCCGATCGGTTTCGCCGGATCGATGCTGAGCCTGGGATTTACGATGTCCTTAGGGTTTAGGGTTTTTTTAGGGTTTTTGAAGGTTTTTTAGGGTTTAGGGTTTAGGGCTTTTTAGGGTTTAGGGTTTAGGGTTTAGTGTTTTTAGGGTGTAGGGTTTAGGGGGATTTAAGGACTAATGAGGTTAGGGCTTGGAGGTTGCCGGTTAGGGTTTAGGGCGGATGGAGGGGCTGATAAGGTTCTTGAGGGTTTAGGGTTTAGGGTTTAGGGTTTAGGGTTGAGGGTTCGGGGCATCTGGGAGGGTTGTTCTTCGTGGATGTGGTGAACAACACCCCCCCCCACCCCCCCCCCACCCCATAGGGTGCGGATGGGCCGGGGCGGGGAAGCCCTAGGGTCAAGGTCTTTAGGGTTTACAGGGTTTAGGAGTTTAGGG